GCACTTGTATGCATCGCAGCCGCCCGTTCAATCGATGCAATATCTACCTTATGACATAATATTTTCGTGTCTTATCTTTTTTCCCTTCGTGTTGTGGGCGTTGTGGCAGAGGATGCCGGGGGAAGGTCAATGGGGCAAAAAAGGAGACATATGTACTGCTAACTGTAATACTTTAAACAATAAAATAAAATTTAAAAAGTCTCACTTTTGCCATACTTCTGTCCCTGTGGCCGTTATTTGAATTCGGACAGGTGAGCATTTCTCACAATGAACATATTTTATTAGTGCAAAGAACTTTTTGAGTGCATGGGTCAGGACAGAGTGTCCCAAAAAGCACTCAGAGAGCTGCTTGGCCTCACACAGAGTAGCACTTTTCCATCTTGCTGGAAGGACAAATGCCGGGTGTCTTGCCTTCCCAGTATGTTCTAATTCATTGCCATTTGGAAGATGCCCTAAATTCAGAAGTCCCTATACAGTGGTTGTCTGCCCCATTGCATGGCTGGAGTTCACTTCAAAACTTTCATACATTGTTTATTCCCTTTAGTTTTCCACTAATTCAATAGGAGAGAAGTTATGAAAGTCCAGATATGAGCTAGTGAAACAAGTGCTGGCCAGGTTCTTATATGTGAAGCTCATCAGGCAAATTTTAAAAGTTGTCTATAAATGTGGGGTGAGGTAGAAAGGGGTGAAGGTGTTAAAGAAACCAGATTCAAAAGATCCTCATTTCACTAGTATACCAAGCCCCCAGATGGGTTCCCCAGGCAGGGTTGCTGAGAAACTGCTTCCCACTGCTGCTGTGGACACTAATAGTAAGAGAAAGGTAAAATGTTCCTAACCAAAGAAAGAGCAGGTATCCCCATCACCAGTAAAGAGTCAAATATATTCTCACTCTTGTCCAAAAGGTGCTTTTGATACTGTTGTATTAATAACTAGAGGCCCGCCCCAACTGGTTTGGCTCAGTGGATAGAGTGTCAGCCTGCGGACTCAAGGGTCCCAGGTTCGATTCCAGTGAAGGGTATGTAACTTGGTTGTGGGCACATACCCAATATGGAGTGTGCAGGAGGCAGCTGATCGATGTTTCTCTCTCATTGATGTTTCTAACTCTCTATCCCTCTCCCTTCCTCTCTGTAAAAAAATCAATAAAATATATATTTTTAAAAAAATAAAAATAACTAGAGGCCCAATGCACAAAAATTTGTGCACTTGGGGGGGGTTCCCTCAGCCTGGCTTGTGCCCTCTCCCAGTCTGGGACCCCTCAGGGGATGACCACTTGCTGGCTTAGGCCCGCTCCCCAGGGGACTGGGCCTAAGCTGGCAGTCAGACATCTCTCTGGCAGCCTGGGAGCCCTCGGGGGATATCCACTTGCCAGTGGGGAGCAGGCCTAAGCTGCAGTCGGACATCCTTAGCGCTGCTGAGGAGGCGGGAGAGGCTCCCACCACCACCGCTGTGCTGACAGCCATCAGCCTGGCTTGTGGCTGAGCAGAGCTCTCCCTGTGGGAGCGCACTGACCACCAAGGGGCAGCTCCTGCATTGAGCATCTGCCCCCTCGTGGTCAGTGTGTGTCATACTGACCAGTCATTCCCAGTTGTTCTGCTGTTAGGGTCAATTTGAATATTACCCTTTTATTATATAGGATAGGAAAAGCATACACAAAAAAAGAGGCCAGACATGCATGTCACTGTACAGCTTCACCAGGAAGCTGCAATTTCACACTCCCCAGGGAACACTGGCCCATTCCCCACAGATCACTAGGGGAAGAGGTCAACAAGGGAGATAAGATGCAGCCCATGAGATGGGGTGATATAGAGAAGGTACTTGCTTGTCAGTCAAACTGAAAACAGAGATTATTGGCCAGAACTAGAGGCCCGGTGCACAAAAATTTGTGCACTCGGGGGGGGGAAGGGGGGGGTCCC